TAGAAATCAAACAAGAAAAGTTAGGGTTACCGAATCTGGATGAGTCGTGGACTAGATCGCTCTCTTTAAGACGTTCGCGGCACTGCCTTCATTGCGCACGACAGACTATCAGCCGGTCGCCTCCAAGATAAAACAACCACTTTGATTTTGTTGCTCATTGGTTTTGTGAGAAAACCGGAGCTCTCCAAACTCACTCTCTCTCATGCTTTTGCTCTTTTGAGGTGTGTTTAGAGGGTCTAGTGGTCTGCTATTTATAGGAGTAGAAAACCCAGAATATTCCCTCTTTCTTTGGGATTAAGTCACATTTTAATTACGAAGATAATTACTCCCATAATTAAAATGCATTGTATTAATATAATTAATCCTAATTATCTCCATAATATTCCTTTTACTAATTATCCATCTTATTTTTGTATTCTGAGAAAATATTGGACAATTAATTAGGAATATTATTTATACCTTTTCAAAACTATTCATCCCAACATATATAGAGACCGAGTTGGTGAGAGCCAAATCGACCAGCAAGACATCCAATAATAAACTCGACGATATGGCGGCGACGATGGTGGCAGGACTCCTGAAGTACGTGACCCTCCGATCAACAGCCAACTCGAAATACATGCACTACCTGTTGAACGACAAGTTTGGGGCCTACTACAAGGGCATGGGCTGCAAGCGGTCCATGGACCTGGTGAGCCCATTCGTCATGCTGGAGGTGGTCGCGTCCGCTACAGGCCCGGCCCACCTCCGCTGCTGCTACAAAGAGAAATTCCTAAAGATGGTGGAGATGGACGGCGTCCGGTTAGTCTTCGCCACCGCCGACGAGCCGACCGAGGATGGGGAGTCGAAGTCAACACTGTTCGACGTTGTTTTTTCGGACGACGAGCCCGGCACGGTGGAGCTACTGCACGTGCGGACTTAGTGGCACGTGAGTAGTTTTTTCAATGAGGATAGCAATGAGAGAAACAACGCCGCTTGTGCCTATTTTAAAGATGACGTCGTCAGCATAGAGCGGTACAAGTACGCGGCCTGGGTGCCGTACGAGGAAGCCTAGTATAGTGTTGGGACGCTAGAAGAAGATATGGTGTCAACCCGTCTATCATTGAGTCTCTGCGCAAGTCGAGAGACCTCGAATCTTGTTTTTAACTCACATGTATGGGAATTCGTGCTTGAGAGATCAGGATTCAATCCAAACGCTTCACCTTACTACCTCATTCCATCCTCTCGACGGAAGCACGAAATGCGTTCTGCGTTTGAAGACGATTCGTTATATGGGAACAAACACAACTTTTTACTTACTTGTTTGTGTTAGCATCAAGTGTAGTTAGTTTTTATTTTGTCCTATGTTCATTTGCCAAGTATCTCCTATAAATACAAATTAACCCAACTCAACATATGGCCTCTCAAAGTGAGCTCAAACTTGCAATTGGCTGATATTTTTGTCGAAGGCCTGGTTGCTGATCGCTTTCGTTTTCTGCACTCCAAGCTGCACGGTCGTATTCTTCATGTTCGAACTCGCGGGGAAGTGTTGGAATTTCCGGACCACTATGATACAGAGCCCTGCAGTCAACCCACATCGGTTCTAGCTCAGTTCATCTCGCACAACACAACTCAACAAAGTCTTTCGTTCTCGAACTTGATTTACTTATCATGGAAGGATTATACTACTTGCGTAATCCTAGATGCTTGTAAACATTACTCTACCGTATGTCCATCGAGTTTTGTTAGTTAGATCATAATTAATCCGAGTTTGGGGCATGATACTATACCCTAACCTGTAATGGGTGAACCCCAGTCCCTAATTCTCTAATCCAAACAATAATATTCATTTAATCTAAAAATGAAAACCAATGGTTCTGATTCATCAGAATTATCCATGTACAAAAAATAGGTGTGAACGCAGTCGTCGGGGATTAGTCCCGAGTCGTCGGGGGATACCATGTTAAATTGTTGTCCCCTCTATTTTCTCAACCAAACCACATACAATTTCTCAGTTATAAAATACTCTAATACCATGTGGAGAACCAGATAGTTCCAATAAATCGAGTTATTTATTGTATTATTTTGTTTTGGTGCTATGTTTATTTGCCCCATAAGTGACCTCTTCACTTAGACGTTGGTGGGGAACTTGTCTTTTTGTTGAGAATGATTAAATTCCATTCTTGTTTCTTTTGTGTTTTTGTTTTATACTTTAATTCAAGTTAGAGTGGTAGGTTAGGGGTGTGCAATGGTTTGGTCTATAACGAACTGCACCGGATCATTTCAAAGCTTGAATTGGACCGCACCAAATCGAGTATAATGCGTTCCGATCTTTAGTTTTATGGTTTTTATAAATATCAAAGAAAAATGGATCGAAGTGACATTTAGATCGGACCAATATGAACTGAATACATTGTCTTTTGTTCATAGAAGTGGCTTACTATTGGACCGCGAATCTTCTAAGTTTGTTCCGATGCGGTCCGAACATGAGCTTGCACAACCCAATGGCCTGTATTTGAATTGAATATACAAGGCAATAAAATTGCATAGATCCAAGTTGTAACTTGTTTGCTTGCTCTCCACGTCAATGCCTTTTCATCGACGATTCAACTTGGCACACTTGGCGTACGTTGCGAGCGAGAGGGCGTGGAGTGGGTTCGCGTGGAAGGCGTTAGCAATATGTGGGGGTACGTACTAAAGCAAATTCCCTGACAAGATAACGTCCCCGGCCACTGCCACGAATTCAGATATCGTGCACCACTTAAATTTTGGAGAACGGTTCTCCATCTTACATCCAATGGTCCATAAAAATGGCCTATTAAATTAAGAGTCAAGATTTGTTGGTAAAAAATAGTAGTGGAGAGTGAGGTCAGCAACTGAAAAAGAGCTAACAAAAAGCTGTTTTTTCAGGCCCACGAACTGAAAAGGAGCTGACACAAGAGAGAGTAGAGAATCTAAGTTATTGAAAATGCTGAATATGATTTCTGTTTTGTACATATATGTTTTGTGATTAGTAGCAATATATTTTATATTTAGTAAGAATATGGTTTTTAATGTATGGTATATTATTTTGAATAACAGTTGTGAAAATTACGAATATAGAAATCACATATATGAAATATGTTTTCTATTCTATGCAAATATCATATTTTGTTTAATACGAATATAATACAAATATAACGTTTGCTCAGTACAAATAATGTATGTTTTTTTGTTCAATACAAATATGTATTTTGTTCGATACAAATATGATTTTAGTTCAACAAGAATATACATATACCACTTGTAAATAATATGTATAAGTTATATTTTGTTAAAAATAAATGACGCACATGTCAACTACTTTTTTAAGTTGTGGGTCCCATAATCTACTATCTATTACTCTAATAAATTTGAGCATTTAATTTATTATTTGTTCTATATTGTCATAAAAAGTAATAGATTAAAAAATTAATATTCATATTGATCCAGTTAGATACAAAATGAAGTCTTTTTGCTTTATGAATATGATATGGGTGGAAAGCGGGTTGAGTTTTGTAAAACCAAACTCTATCCAAACCCGCCAAATACAAAATCGAGTAAAATCCGCACCCAGCATAAAAAATTCGTAAACACTAAACATTGTGTTTTATCGGCTTTTGATCGGGTTAAATTGGGTTGGTAAGCCGTACATTCGAATTCAATTGCCCGTAGGTTTAATTATTCACTGTAGGTTTAATTAACTTCCTCAATCCTCCAATCCATCACACACAACAATCCCCTCGAGCAGTTCCCTCCCCCTCCAGCGAAGCATCGTAGCCCAAATCCCCTAAACAGGTCAGGGTCGAGACTGTCCAAATACCTCCCCCTACATCCACCGATTCAGGAGATGATGGAGGCGAGGGCGGCAGTAGAGCGACCAATATCTCTTCTCTTACCCGAGGCTAGTCAATCACTCTGAATTGGCCGCCTCTATTCAGGCATCGTCGAAGAGAAGAAGAAGGTTGTGTGGCACAAGTTCGACCAGGCAACGTCGACGATGGCGATAAGTAGTCCCGATTTACGCGTTCGTCTCCTCCGTCATTCCATTTCCAACTCTCTTCTCTCGTTTGTTCATGTTGTTGGGTGGATGTGATTTTTTCCTGTGCGGGGAAGGGGAGTATGAAGTAATGAGGTAGAGAGATCGAACCGGGTGGGAGTCATGGGATTAGGAAGTGGAGGGTCTGGACTCTGGACTCTTGCGTATGTGGGAGTGGATCCAGTCTAGGAGGCGCGGTGTTAGCAGAGGAGGAGAACGTCTTGAAGGCTGTGATGGTGGAAGGCGGTGGTGGGGGGTGGGGTTGGGTCGAATCTAGTCGGGTTGGATTAGGGGTTGAATTAGATTGGGTTATGCATAGGGTCTGACCTGGTGGGTTAAAAATGAGTGAATCAGCATTTTTTGTTTGCCACGTCAGTAAAATATTGATGGTGGTAATGGAGGTTGACGGAGACGAACGGAGAGTGACCATACGTGAAACGTTAAATCACTTTCATTGACCATGAATAGAATAAAATATTTTTAGTGACCAAACGTGAATTGTTGAGTACTTCCAATGACCTACCTTGCAATTTATCCAAAAAGGAACTAAGGGTGAGATGCTTAAACAGATTCAATCTGACGTTGTGATTATGCTTGCAAGTAATGAAGCTTTAATTTGAGCTGTTCTAGAACCCTTGTGTTTAATGATATACAATAATTAATTTGAGCTTTTAGTGACTCAGTATATGTACTTAATTAGTATTCTTATTGACAGGGAGGTTGCTAAAACAGAACCCTTAGCTTGTTTTCCATGATATACAATAATTAATTCGTAAAAAGATCATCATTATCTTTAGTAATAAAATAATAATAAACTTAAATGAATTATCAAGATCCCTTCATTATTTTATTGCCTGGCCTGCATTTATAACAATGAGTTCCCATGCATCATTAATCCAAGCTAGCTACCTACCCACCTCCCCCAAAAATCTCTGGGCAAATCTCTCTTTCTCTGTCCCTCGATATGGCTGACTACCGGCAGCCTCTTCTGCCTCCAAGATCGGAGGACATAGATGACCATGAGCAGCGCCTTGTTCAGAAAAGCGCCGCCGCTGCCGAGGCCTCCTTCGCCGTCGGGGCAGGTGACATTCAGCCGATCAGAAGCCTTGGGGATTTCTCGAGAGAGTTCTTGGCGGAATCCGGCAGGCTGTGGTTCCTGGCGGGCCCCGCCATCTTTATGTGCCTCTGCCAGTACTCCCTGGGCGCCGTCACGCAAGTCTTCGCCGGCCAAGTCGGCACCCTCGAGCTCGCCGCCGTCTCCGTCGAGAACTCTGTCATCGCCAGCTTTTCCTCAGGCACCATGGTGTGTAAATCTAGCTACCTCTATGCTCAAGCTCCAGAATACTGAAAAGCTTTTTTAAATCCTAGTTTTTTCCTTGCGTTGAATGAAGCGACACTTTTGAGTTTGACTTACCGGGAAAGAAAACAAGACTATAAAAATAATAATATTAATTTATAACTATTGAAGTTTTAACCAATAGTAATGGTTTAAGAAGTTAAATTTTAGACGGGATTTACGTAAGGAAGTAGCTCATATTGAATTGATTGATAGGTTCATTTTTAACCGCTCTGAGTTATTTCCGTACAGAAAATATAATAGTGATTTTATCGGTAGGTAGATGGATTTTAGTGGTATAAAGCTGTTGAACTATGATTTCGGTACAAAATATTGTGCTAATAGTCTATTTAGTACAGTCTTCGATACGGTTTCGCAATATTTGTATAATAGTGGTGATCAGGTGAAATGTTTGGATCTAAGTATTTTTGTTGGGATGCGCTTGTTTCGTTTGCACCAGGGTGAGTACCTCTTCACTTAGATACAAGTCCATCCAACCATTCTCGTTTGGTAGCTAGCTGTGTGTTTTTTGTTTTGTTTTATTCTTCTGGTTGGTGTAATCAATTCAATTCAAGTAATCGCCTTTGTTCCCAATCAATCCAATTAATTAATTCAAGTAATTCGTAAATCAATCAATCCAGCTAGGAATGGGAAGCGCCCTGGAGACGCTCTGCGGGCAAGCCTACGGGGCAGGACAGCTGGACATGCTAGGAGTCTACCTGCAGCGCTCCTGGGTCATCCTCCTGGCCACGTCACTCCTCCTCAGCCTGCTCTACGTCTTCGCGGGCCCATTCCTCCTCCTGATCGGGCAAGAGGCGTCACTCTCAGCCGCCGCGGGGGTCTTCACCATCTGGATGCTCCCGCAGCTGTTCGCCTTCGCGTTCAACTTCCCGATGGTGAAGTTCCTGCAGGCGCAGAGCAAGATGGCGGCGATCGCGGCGATTGCGGCGGCGGCGCTGGTCCTCCACGTGGCGCTCAGCTGGGTGCTGACGGTGGAGGTCGGGATGGGCGTGGCGGGGCTGGCGGTGGCGCTGAACGTGTCGTGGTGGTTCATCGACGTGGCGCAGTTCGCGTACGTGGTGAGCGGGAGGTGCGGGAGGGCGTGGAGCGGGTTCACGTGGAAGGCGTTCACCAATCTCTGGGGGTTCGTGAAGCTGTCGCTTGCGTCCGCTGTTATGATTTGGTAAGCCAGTCAATTCTCTCTCTGTATTGTTCCAATTTTATCCGGATGTAGTAAGTCGTCGATTCTGATTCCACGAGTACCAATGCAAATGGGCGGGTGGCCTGACAAGATAACGTCTCCGGCTACTGCCACGGCCACGGCCACGGCCAGTCGTTCTCTTTCTTTCATGTTTCACGTGGGGTGCTTATAATTTGGTCAGCAAGTCGATTCATTGTCTCCTCTTCCCATATTTATCATTAAAAGCAATAATTTGGTTCCGTGAAAAGCGGTCAGCAACGATCCTTCTTTTTAATATAAAGTCAGCAACAGTTATATAAAGAAACTCTTACCCATTATTATATTATATAATGTATTTTTGAAGAGAAAAAGATAAGTGAATTGTTTTTATTCTAAAAGAGATGAAAAAGAAACGTAACCTTTTGTTATATAAATAAAATAAAATTGGAGATGATGACAAATTGAGTGTGTATGATTGGAGTTGGCGGCTAATTCTTATTTTTATGCTGAAATGTGGACAAAGATCCAAATATTAATAATGGGATTTGTGGGTACAGCTTAGAGGTTTGGTACTTCATGGTGTTGATATTGTTTGCGGGCTATCTCAAGGACGCTGAAGTTGCTGTGGATGCTTTGTCCATCTGGTATACGTCACCCAAACTTCTGTTTACTTGTTAATTGTCCTCTACCATGTTTTTTTTTTTTGGGGGGGTTTTCTTTTGACAAGATTGCCTATCAAAGCAACTTTGTCCTCGTGTCTTCAGTTTACTTGTTAACCACTGTTGAACAAGATTTGGACCGATCTGATGGCAGCCAAATGAGATTAAAAATTGCCAACCCAGAAAAACGACTACTACCCAATATTAAATGATTACTACTTATCCATAATCAATGATTAAAGTGATCCGTGTGTTCCCTAATTTGCCATGCTATAATTCCAACCGTTAGACTTGCTAGTATAGTAAATTGTTTGAAGTTATAAGGCTGTAACCATTGAAAGACACATTTCAAATTAACCTTGCAGTATGACTATTGTGGGGTGGACCGTCACAGCGGCTTTTGGAATGAATGCAGCAGTCAGGTTTTGCTTAATTAATTATCTCCTTGTCAATGAACCTTTTTTTTTAATATGATCATCATAGAGTTAATTTATAAGGAATTGGTTTTTTTTTCTTTTCTTCAGCGTCAGAATTTCCAACGAACTAGGAGCAGCTCATCCGAGAACAGCAAAGTTGGCGCTTGTGGTCGCAGTGATATCCTCATTCATGGTCGGCATTGCGCTTGCACTCCTTCTCATCCTTACCAGAGACCATTACCCTGCTCTCTTCTCCAACGATCTAGCAGTGCAGCGAGTCGTCACCAAAATGACTCCTTTGCTGGCTCTCTGCATCGTTCTCAACAACGTTCAACCTGTTCTCTCAGGTAACCAATCAATCCATTCATCAGGTTGAGTTGTCAGAATTTAGAGCGATAGATCATATGGTTGTTTACATGTGGAAACTACGTATGTATGGCGAGCAGGTGTGGCGGTCGGGGCTGGATGGCAAGCAGTTGTGGCATACGTGAACATTGCTAGTTACTATTTGTTTGGAATTCCATTGGGACTGATTTTGGGCTACAAATCTGATATGGGTATCACAGTGAGTATAATTATCGATCATCGCTACCCTATACGATGGCGTTTTGTTGGAATGTCGATAGATATGTTACTCTTTCAATATTCTTGTTGTGGTGCAGGGTATTTGGTTAGGGATGATGGCCGGAACGGCGGTGCAAACTCTTGTGCTTTACTGGATTATCTATAAAACTAATTGGAATGAAGAGGTAACTGGAATTTATTATCAATTTTTCGTTACTTAGCTGATGCATGCATGATTGGAACGCATAAGTATCTCAATTACGTGATTGATTTCAGGCTTCTAATGCCGGAGATCAAATAAGGAAATGGGGAGGCGGCAATTCTCACAACGAGACTACTAACGATGTGGTTATTGTTAATTAACTTGGGAGGAATCAATATGGTATACGAACCAACGAAAAAACAAAATGTAATTCAGTAGCTTTGTGCTGATTGTATTTTTTTCTTTCTCATGTTGTCAAAATCTATCTTGCATTGCATTTGTTTACCTCAAACTTTGCTCAATTTTTTTAATTTTGTTTTATTGCCAAGAAGTGGGGGGGGGGGGGGGGGGGGAGTGTTTCCAAAATTTCCAAAACTACTACAAAAATTTACAAAATACCAAAATAATAATATTGGAGAGTGAAGGTGAGTCCCCGAAACCCAGGATGTCTCATGCGGCCCAACTCCAACCCAACTCACACGCAGTAAGTTTTTGTTTTTTTGTTTTTAGATAAGGGTGATATAGTTTCACTTCACTTTTTGTGATTAGGTAGGTACTATTAAAGGGATTTGAACCTAGGTACTCTAGGTTTAAAGCTAGTGGTATTACCACAAGGAGTCTTTGTCTTAGGTCAATTGTAACTACTTCTTAACCTTGTAATGACCTAGGGCATCAGCAGCTTAGCATAAATAGAGAGGGAGCATGGCCTTTGGCCATTGTAACACCATAATCTATTTGTAATATCAAAGCTAGAGAGGCTGAACTCTCCGGTAGATTAGTCTCGGTTATTCAATCAATTAAGGAGATCACGTCAATCTCATATGTCGAGCGTTGTGGATCGGATTCCTGAATCGACTTCTTTAAAAGAGTCAATATGTTATGCATGCTGGCGGGAGGTCATGTCCAAAGAAATTATAGTTGTCATTGCAAATGGTACATGGACTCTTGTCTCTCTTCCTCCCGGTAAACGCTGCATTGATTGCAAGTGGGTGTTTATAGTAAAATATCTTATGGATGTGTCAGTTGAATGTTATAGGGCTTGCCTCATAGCCAAAGGCTACACGCAAATTGCGGGCGTTGGTGTTCATGAAACTTTTGCACTTGTAGCCAAGCTTGTCATAGTACATTGTCTCCTTGATTCTGTAGTCAGCTGATAGTGGTTCTTACCTCAGCTCGACGTCAACAATGCCTTCTTACACGGAGATTTGTCAGAATAGGTCTATATGAAAGTTCCGGTTGGGTTTGCCCGACGGGATGTGCTTGTTGTGGTGTTGATATATGTTGATGATGTCATACTCGCAGGAAATAACCTCGAGTTTATCAATCATGTCAAGAAGTTCCTTGATCAAAAGTTTAGTATCAAGAATCTTGGGTTTCTATGATATTTTCTGGTATTGGAGGTTGCTCACTCACCCAAAGAGATTGCATCAATAAGGAAAGGTATGTCTTGGACATTCTGGCCGAGGCGGGTGTTCTTGACCCAACCACTGTCTAGCTAGTCCCTTGGTTGATGGGTCTTCATATCGTTTTTTAATTGGGCGTCTTCTCTATCTCACTCCATCTCAGCCCGATATCACTTACAGTGTCAATATTTTGAGTCTCTTTGTTCATCCACCCACGCAGGTGCACAAGGAAGATGCGATGCGGATCCTACGTTACTTGAAGTACTCACCAAGTCAAGGTGTTTATTTCCCTGCAGATAATTCTCTAGAGTTGACTGCTTATTGTAATGTATATTGGGTTGGGTGTCACTCCACCCAATGTTCCACCATTGGGTTATTCATTTCATTTGTTTCGGTTCCTATTTCTTGGCGCACGAAATGTCTGAAGGTTGTTGCACATTACTCTATTTAAGTTGAATACCATGCCATGGCGAGCACGGTGTTTGAATTACTCTAGTTACGTTAGTCACTTTCATGAACTAGGTGTTCCTTAGTCGAAACCTACTTCCTCTAGATTGCGACAATAGGCGACACTCCCACATTCTGCTTCCCAATATGGCATCAAAGGTTTTAAGCCATATCTTCAAAGATCACCATTATTCCAAGTTCGAACCATTGTAGATATATAAACCGACACCGAGTTGATGACGACCGTGGTAGAGAGGTCGCAAACCAGAGATGCATACTTTTTATATGCCTAATGGAGACATGACAATCACGCTCATGGATATCATCATAATCACCTAGTTCTTGTTCCACGGAAGGGTAATTATCGATACTTCTAAGATCTAGGAGGTGGTTTGCCGGAACGAATTCTTGGGTGGTTGAGGCACACAAAATCTAGAAAATTAAGTGAATGCACTATGAAACCGAATCAACTATCACATTCATGATTTTTTGGTTGGTGAGATGATGTTTTCCAACAAGTCAAACATGTCTATCCATGACATTAGGCTCCATATACTACTCGACGACGGCAAGTGAGACGAGAGATTGGCAAGAAGAGTTGGGACTTGACAAGCTTCGTTTTGCTCTACCACGAATTATATAGGGTTGTAAGAGCTATGCAAGAGGAAATTAATGCTTTTATATTCATCCGCCAAGTTTGGGTATGAGAGCATTACCTTACCACAACTCTACCACATAAGCCATCATTGGATTGGGAACCTAATGATCAATAATGAGATGATGCTTATGAGGCTAGGTAAGTATTATTACGCTTTTTTTTATTCAATTTTCTATACTATTTGACATTGTGACCTTGCTTTTTTCCTAATATGGGTTGGAGCCATCACAAATGAATTCTTGTTGCAATATGCAACAATAGCAACATAATTTGGAAAAACTAGGCAAAGATCTGTATACAGTATAAATTCGTTATTTTTTTTAGGGTTATACTTCTTGATACTAATTGAACATCATTGTGATTGTTGGGTGTTTGTGAGCTATGAGTTTGCGGTGGAGGAGAGGCACAAATTGAGGTACCCTAATCAAATTTGGATCACTTGCTGACCGTAGTATTTCACAAAAAAGTAATTATAACCTAAATAGATGTCTATGTTCATATTCTGTAGGGCCACTGACAATGTCTATACTTTATATCCACTATTAGTGGTTCAAATATTCCTTAGATGGGGTTGAGACAACTCGGATTTCTATGCCTTATCATTTGTTTCTTCGTTTTTCTCGTTTCTTTTTTTGTTCTACAATCAACGTTAGCCACTTGCTCGTGCTCTTTTTAAAATTTATCGACATTCGAGGTAACTTCATTCCACCTTCCCTTACGCATTTGTTTGGTCCAATGAGGACATTGTCCAATTTAAAGTGTATGATGAGGCACGAGTTTTATATCTTTACCGTGTCGAATTTTCCCCCTAAACTTTGGGTATTATATATGCGTGTAAATGTGCTAACATTTTCAATTTTTGTTACTATACCGTACACTCTCATATACATATCCATGCTCAACATACTTTGAATTGCTAGTCTCCATGTTTATAAGTGATCTAGGAAGGCTAGTGTAGAAGCTATAAAGGATGTCCTCGTCATGAGACTAAAGGTCACTCGTTATGTCTGAGTACAATGCCTCTCACTACCCTTTGTGAGTTATTATAATCTTCATTATGCGTAGTAAACATGCAAGTGATAGAAGTCCTAGGATATCCTACGGTTGTATTCCACAAGGTCTTCTAATGCATAACTACTCACACCATACCATCTATGCTCAACACGAAATAGACAAGCTTCTTTAGGGGTTTTCATTCGAGTAACAAGCAAAGAAAAGCAAAGCAAGGAAGGTAAATTTGTTTAGGAGGTTTTCAAGTTATAAATGCATAAAGGTAAAGAAACGTTATTGAACAAGAAGGTATACTCGAGAATCATCATACATAATAATGCTCAATCATATCATATATCAATCACTCACCTATAGAATCACACTATCCCCTACAATCAGGGCATCCTACTCGAGCTTTCCCCACAGGCAATAAGAACTTAACAAGCTAATGCATGCTTCACTTTGTGCCATCATAACATCACCTAATCAATTAAGAACAGAGAACTGAGGCTAATACATGATTAAGTGTGGGCCTCTTAAGCCATATTCTATGGTCTATAGCAACAATGATTTAACAGTCAAGCATTGTTACTACTTGAGGTATAGATGGTTGATCATTCCCTCAATACTCGTGTAGCATCAATGGTGTATCATAAGCTGGTAATTTCTGGACAACCTAGATGATAATAAGCACCACGCATATAGTAGCACACTATAGATTCATAAGCATCGATGATAAGAAGTATTGAACTAAATGAGCATCAATAGCAAACACATAGGCATCAGAACATAAACCATCAATGAACACACACAGGGCATCAAAAATCACAAGCATCAACACATGAATAATATAAAATCATAGCATGAAAACAAAGATAAATGAGTTCAGATTATCATACAATCAATTTGAAACTAGCTATACATAAAAGATAAGGAGGGTACCTCCATCAATGATGAAGGCATCTCCTTAGTTGTAACCTCTCTTACAAATGTTAGGCTCTCACTCGATCAGAGTGTTTACAGAAGTTTTAAGTGAATTTGTGCAGCCTACTAAACTAATGAGTCTAGCCCTTTATTTATATTGCTAGAACTCGGCCAAAACCCTCCTAAACCTACTAGGAAAAGATGCATTTGACTTGGGTCGAATCAAGACCTAAATATTTTCTATTTGGGCTTGCCCCTTCTTGTCGGTGGCTGGGCGTTGGGCTTACCTTTTCGGTCCATGGAAAACCTCTCCTGACGATTTGATTTCAATTTGTCCAAGTTTCCATGGGCCGCTGTTGGACCCATTGTTTGGTCACCGCTCATTCTTGCTTCTGCCGAGTCTTCATCCATTGGTCATCTCTTAGGCTATATGCGTGGTTACTAATAGTCTTCTCCCTCTTTGGACCCCGTCTTTATCAAGAAAGCATTATATTCTTCTTTTCATAGCTCTTCCGGTCCTCCAGATTTATCCAATACATGATCAAAATATTCTTAAGTTGCTTTTGTACCTTTAAAACCATAAAAACATACCAAGAAGGCATCAAATAGTACAAAAACACAACTTAGATTTATTAAAGGCTCACTGATCAAACCATTATGATTTAGATATGAAATACAAGAGAAATTAATATAGATGCATTGATAGAAGGAGAAGATGTATCAAATATGGGAGTGATAA